GATTACAAGGATCTACATATAACCTCCTCCCTGGGGGATGGACAACAGAAAAGTGGGTGAAGGGAGACATAGGACAGTGTAAGAGATGCCAAAATAATAATAATTTATAAATTATGAAGGGTTCATAAGGGAGGAAGGAGCGGGGAGGGAGGGGAAAAATGAGGAGCTGATACCAAGGGCTCAAGCAGAAAGCAAATGCTATGAGAATGATGATGGCAACAAATGTACAAATGTGCTTGACACAATGGATGTGTGTATGGACTGTGATAAGCATTGTAGGAGCCCCTAATCAAATGATTAAACAAAAGAAAAAGAAAGCAATTCCATCAGCAGACATTGAAGTCAATCAAGAACCTCGTTGTCATCAACACATGCATATTAAGGTCACATGTGAATGTCACGGGTACTTACTTAGATCAGACCAGCATGTCGCCTGCCCATGCCACTTGTCATGCATTTATGCTCAGAACATGAGCTATGGAAGGAGCTGCATAAAGGGTAGAACTTGAGGCTAGGTGCAGTGGGTATATCTCTGCAGCTGTGAACCCTGCAGGAATGTTCTGTGGATGTGTGATGTCACGCGTGAGTGTGGCGTGCATCTGTTTAAGTTGCAGAAAACTCTGAGCTCCCACCAGGCCCCCACAGCACATCAGATGTGACTTTCGTATTCAGAGCCTGCAAGAGTTATGTGCGAATACAATGACACAAGACCATCAAGGGTGTATGGTCAAATGCCTGGGGTTTCAAAGAAAACCCTAAAAGGATGTTGGGGAGGGGGGGTCTAGTTCTGAACCTGCAGAAGCGGCTCCAGGCCCTGGAGATGTACTTCCCCAACAACACACTGGCTGTCGAGGACAGTCCGTCCCCCCTGTTCCTGTCAGTGCACCGCCCAAAGCCGGCCGGGACTCTGTGGAACAGCATGCAGTCCCAGCTCCGGCAGATCCAGACCAGCCAGCAGCACCTGCAGCGCCAGGTGGACAACTTCACCCGGAAGCCAGGTTGGACCCCTCCCCGCTGGGTGAGCACTCCTCAGGGGATGGCGGGGAAGGAGAAGCTGCTTGTTCACAGTGCAAGCTTGCACTTGAACCCCCTTCCTTGGCAAGAGTCTTCTAGTGCTCTGACCTGGAAGGCAGTGGGAGACCTTTTACCTAACCTCAGGAGCCATCTCAGGCTGGTTTGGACTTCGTAGGCCTCTGAAAATGCCTGGGACACCCATTTCTCTTTGCAAACATTTTGTAACTCCTAAGGACCCATGGGTCGCACGCTGCTGACCACTAGTTACCATCATATAGCTGATTTCTTCCAAGGGATCTTTCTTACAAGCGCGCAGGGTTTGGGCTCCCTGTTGTCCAAACTCCAGCATTTGACGGAAGGACCTGCTCCCTCATATGCAGTGGGCTCGACCTTCGTGAAAGCTGGGTGCTGGGGAGCTGGGGGGCCTGGGTGCTCCCTGCTCAGTCTGTACCCCAATGCTTCCTTTGCAGAGCTGCTCGGGGCCAAAGGTGAACAAGGAGTTCCAGGTAGGTTTGCCTCCCACTGAACCCTCCTGCTGCCTTCCCGCAGCCTCTTCCTGGTGAGG